GAAGAATATGCTTATGTTACAAGTGAAAAATTTCGACAAGAATCTTTGCAAAAATTCTTGGATGAATATGTTACTTCAAATCATCCTGACTATCAACATTGCTGTCATCTACTCAACGAATATATTCAACAAGGTACAATTGAATCTCTATTGAAACTCTATACATTGGAAACACCATTTTATCGTAAATTATTGTTATCGCCAAGTCCATTAAAATTTCCACTTTTAATGCATTTATCAGATTTAAAACAACGTTATTATCAAGGATATTCCTATCGTGGTGTTCAATTGACTCAATATGAATTAAATGAATATCGTTGGGCATTGAAAAATAAAGATAGTGTTTTATCATTGCTTACATTTGCATCAACATCTATTAATCGAAATGTAGCTGAGCAATTTTCTGCAAAATCTTCATTATCATCAGATAAAATAAGTGTCTTATTGATATTTCATTTTTCTCAACCATGTGATACAGCAATAAACTTAAGTAAAATACCTATATATCAACTACCATGTATATCAAATTTTGAAAATGAACAAGAAGTATTAATTAGTCCACGAACATTTTTCAAAGTGACAGATATTGAAATTGATCAACCTTATGAACAATATACGATTTATTTGGAGAATGTGTGCGGAGAACAACAAACTATGTTGAAAGCATTAAAATTCTTCCTTCCAGATGGCTTGACGAAGAAAACTAGTAAATGCTTCGTCATGGATCATGTATTCTGCACTAATAATTGAAGTTTTTCCGAGAATGAAACTATGTCAATGAATAAAAAGATATGAGAGAAATGTAATACATGACAAAAATCATTGTAATTTTTGTATTGTAAATAAATTTTCAAAGAATTATTCTTTATGCTTACTCGAAATCGATGTGCTTGAATTTAAAATTCTTAATTTTTGAAATAAATGAAGATATGCTAGGTACATGAGGATGTGAGTATAGACAATTGTACGGGAAGATGGTTCTTGGTGGTCGTTGAAAATACGAGTGTAGATGTGGATGAAAAGTATATTCTAATCAATAAAAGCACCCCACATCCTACACGTCATCAATATTTAATCTAGACAATTGCAACGCTATGCCTTGACCTGTATCATCCATTATATAGTGATGCATAGAAGTGTGAATTCCCTGCAAATAGGAATTCACTATATCCTATATTAATCGATACATTATTTTATAATAGATCAGTATCAACGTCGGTTTTTTTTTGTTCTAAAAATCATTTGTACATCAAGAGACTGAATTATGCGATTGCAATCTCCTATTAATATCTTCAGTGTTTATTCTTTTAATTATCCAATTTTATATTTCTATTTCCAGAAGCATATTTGTTTCTTCTTATTTTTGTACAAAAAAATAAAAAAATCACATTAGATTAGAACTTATGCTATTCTTTGTTTTATCTCAAACACATTATTTAGTTTACATTTATTCATAGAATAACTCTTTCTCTAGATCACACACGCATACATAGAAATTCTTCAATAGAGAAAAAAAATCATTAGCAGAAAAACATAGATATTGAGAAAAAAATGAACTTGTGTAAAGGCAAACAGTAGACTATACAGAAAAAAGCTACATACAAACGTACGTTAAACGAAGAGAAAAAAAATTGACCATCGATCGAAAATAGAAAAACACAAAATGTTGTTTTAGGTATACAATGATAAAATGAGATTATTCATTAGCTTGTAGGTGACTTGATAATGTACTATGAGATAGTTGTCTTGTATCAAAACTTTTGAGTCCTTCACATACATGATCATACTACTAACGAGGGAACACATCCAACTGTCCAATCGCTTTTGAGTTCGAACTCA